GTAGGGTGGAGAGGCCTAACTCCCTCATCTACCCTGATCCTTTGTGGTCTGTCCTTGCTCTTTTCTTCCAACCCTGCCCTGCCTGCCCCTGGCCCCTTGGGAGATAGAAGTGGCCCTCAGATACGGGTCTTTTGGGAGTTGGACGCTGCCCTGCTGCCCTCAGATGCTTTGCTCCTCAGAGGTCCTCCATCACCTGCCGATCAGACACCTGGCCCCACTCCTTTTCAGGAGCCCTGCCTGTCACAGGTTCCCTTGTCCTGCCTCTACCCCTACCGTCCAGATCCCCAGCACTGTTCCTACATTCCTCCTTTTTTTAAAACATCACCAGGTCCTGGCCTCTGATACTCCCTTGGGAATAGGGGTAGGGTGGGCATTGCTGTGGCCCAATAATCCCCTTCTCCACTGCTTCACTGTTGGGAAAACTGAGGCCTGAGTAGATCCCCTCTTTGAGGCTCTGGGGAAGCCAATGCCCCTTCTACTGCAGAGGCCCAGGAGGCTGGAAGCCCTCCAGGGTGTGTCTTTGTGTCTGGGTTCAAGTGCTGGGACCCTACCTGTGGCCACCAGCTTCTCCTCTTGTTTTTTCCCTAGCTCTTTCTAGTAAGCTTAGCTTTCCTACCCCAACTAGACTCCCCAGCCCTCTGTCCGAGTGCTGTCCATCAAGGAGGCTTGAACTGCAATCCCAGGTTTGCTCCTCACCAGTTGAGTTGACTTGGGAGGTCATTCTCCCTTTCTGTGCTTCAAATTCCTTATACATAGAATAGTACTAATGATACCTCATGGGATTGTTTGAGGGTGCAGTGATGTAATGCCAAGAAAAGACTCAGCTTGGAGACTTGCACATGGCCAGCAGCCAAAAATAGCAGCTTTCCCTATTCCCATGGGCTGCTTCTCCAGATCTCCCCCGGCTGTACTGTTCTCCATTTGTAATTAGGAGACAGGTCAACTCAGAGAAGTGGTATGTGTAGTAGTTCAGAGTAGATATTCTGGAGCCAAACTGCCAGACAGGAACCCCAGCTCTGCCTTTTTCCTAGTTGTCCAGCCTGGATAGGTGACTTACCTCTGTACCTCAGTTTTCTCAGCTGCAACATAAAAATGGTAATAGTACTTAAAGCAGTGCTGAGTACCTGTGGAGAGCACTAGTGGAGAATTAGCTAATACTCAGAGCCATGTCCTTCCATGTGGACAAAGTCTCAGGGGACATCTAGGAAGTTATCTGACCAGAGAAATGCCTGCTGTTTCCTACAGAGGGGCACTTGGAGGAAATTTCCCAACTAGGAGTCTTGAGCCTTCATGAAACTGTTATTTCTAAGGTTTTCTGGTGTTTTCTGAGTTTCCCGGAGCCCAGAAAGAGGGGGTGACATGGATCTTGCCTGCCGAGAAGTTGAACATAAGATGATCAAAACATGATCAAAACCTCATGGAGTTGGCGTTGAACAAACACTCAACCACGCAACAGAGATGGCCCCAGCTGTCTTGAGAACTGGATGTGCTCCTGGTGGGGCGTGGGGTGTGGTGGGAAAAGGCCAGTTCAGTTTCATTTTTGTTAATCATATGTGTATTGGGGTTTATTTCATGCCAGACTCTAGAAGAGCAATGTGGGCAATGGAGATGGATGAGACCTAACCTCTCCCCAAAAAACTCTCTCAACAGATGGGAAAGGGAACTTTTCATGCCCCAAAGGCTAAGAGCAACCTGAGCAGGATGTCAGATACTTTTTTATTTTTTGAGACGGAGTCTCACTCTGTCACTTAGGCTGGTGTGCAGTGACGCAATCTCGGCTCACTGCAACTTCCACCTCCTGGGTTCAAGCAATTCTCCTGCCTCAGCCTCCTGAGTTGCTGAGATTATAGGTGCCCACCACCATGCCCAACTAATTTTTTATTTTTAGTAGAGATGGGGTTTCACCATGTTTGCTAGGCTGATCTTGAACTCCTGGCCTCAGGTGATCCATCCGTCTTGGTCTCCCAAAGTGCTGGGATTATAGGCATGAGTCGCTGTGCCCAGACGGATGTCAGATACTTTTAGGAAGATATTGGCTGCTGAAATATTGGACTTTAGAATGGTAAGTATCACCCAGCTGCAGGCCTTGAACCTGTAACAGATGCTGTGTGCCCTAGAGAGGAAGGTCTATCTAGAGGCAGACAACAAGGCCTACATATCCTGGTTGGGGAACTAGTAGTCCACACTACTCTTCAGAGAGCTGGCAACCTCTAGTGGGCTCCTGGCCCACCGGGACTCTGGATAAATGAAGATGCAACAATCTTCAGTGACTGATTGTGAAACAGGAAGCAGATGTTGATTAAATGGAGTCACAGTGCTGAGAATGTTAGAGTGGGGCAGGATGCTCAGTTGCTCCAATTGCTCAGATTGCTGGGCTTATGTACCTGGGAGGGAGTTAAGGGGGTAAGACCCAGTGCGCAGGACAGGTTGGTATGGTTGGGGGGATGGGAAAAAGAGGAAGGCAGAAAGCTAGGATAGAAAGCACTGGTTGGAGACGGGGTGGGGAGGATTGCATGCCATCTCCCCTGGGGCTCTAGTGTCGACCCTCAGATTTCCTCCAAATTCTTCATTTCCCAAGCTTCCAGGGTCAATCATAAGTCTATTGAATCCAAGGCACTTCACTAGCTCCTAGATTATTTTTCCCAGACTCAATTCCTACTTTGATCTCATAGGGTGGCCCCAGGGAGAGTTTTTTCGACCTGCAGGACTTTGTGGGGAGCCTTTGCAAATACTGGGGGTTTAGCGTGAGAACTAAAGCTTCAGGAGCCAAGTCTTTGTTTGGAAGGAGTCTAAAATATCAAGCTCGTCTCTTGCATCTGACAAATGGGGAAACTGAGATCTTGGGGTGCAGAGTTGGAAACGAACTTGCCCAGAGTCACACAATGAGTGGGGCAGAGACAGGATCATGGGACTCTGGCCCAGGCAGTGAGTTCAGGATTTGCTCTTGTACCTCCTAGCAGCAGTGTCATGGAGGTAGTGTCCAGGGGCCCCTGTACTGGTGGCATCTTCTTCTCCCACTCTCGCCTTCCCTGCTCTGTCTGTGTGTTCCTCTGATAGTCCAGAGAGAGCACTTGTGTTGCTTCTGTGGCAGACTGACTTCCTCTAGATTTCACTGGCACTGAGAAAGACTTCAGGCAATGTACTCCCCTCCCATGTGCGTTTGTCCTCTGCTTGCTGGGTGCGGGGCACAAGGTCCTCAGCTGGGAGATCTAGAATGCCATGGCTGGCTGACTTGGTGGATGGATCAAAGAATGGCTGGGTAGAAGTGGGTGAGTAGATGGTTGGATGGATGGAGGTCTGATGAATGCAGAAACTGGCTGGCTGAATGGGTGGGAAGTGGGTGAGTGAGCGAGTGGCTGGCTGGATGGATGGAAGTCTGATGAATGCAGAAACAGCTGAATGAATGGATGCATGGATGCATATGAATGGATGGGTTATTTCAGCTGTTCTTGAAAATTATCCCTATCCCTCCCACCTACCTGGTTTCCCAGGTGATTCTGAGGCCTGGGATACCCAAGGTTTTGAGCACCTGCATCTGGGAGCAGAGGAGAGGAGGAGGATGTCATGCTCTTAGCCTGGTAAGGAGGGACTGCCACAACTCCCTCACCATGTCTCCCTTTTCAGGACCTGCCCAGGCCTGGTTTTGTTGCTGGCTGAAGTATACCCGATAAAATGACAGCCTCTCTTCCCAGGCAGTGGTGCTCATTCTGGCCTCCTTGCTGTCATCTGATCCCAGTGGCACAGACTTATCACTCTCAGCTGGACAGGCCCTTAGAGAACACCGTCTGGAGGCCAACCTGCTTTCCCAGGGTACTTTCCAAGTATGAGGAGCCCACTCTGCACAGAGCAGCCCTGTGGGATGCTCCAAGAGTCACATGGTTCTCATCTCCCAGAGCTGAGATTCTTTTCCCATCTGGGGAGACTTCTCTGGTCTCAGTGTTGCCTTTCGGCCCTGGAGCCCATGTAGACTGCAGGGGTGTTGGTAGGGCTCCTCTGTGCAGAATCTCCTGTGCTTCCCTGGCTACTCCTTCTTCCACCTGTGGGCCTCTCTCCTGACTCTGACCTCTGACTTCCAGGTCTATCTGTCAGTGTCCCTGAGAGACATGGCCCCGGGATTGCAAAGGTGGGCCTGGACCTTACTTAGTCTGGCTAAGAGAGGAGGGCTGGCCTGGAGGTCAGATTCTGTATGGACAGAATGGAAAGATGGGCCCTCAGCCCTGGCTGCTGAGCTTTCCTCACATATTTATTCATTCTCTGATTAAATATTTATTGAGGGACTGCCTTGTGCCAGGCAGCATGCTGGACACCAGAAAAACACTGAAATCCAAGGTAGATGTGATCTCAGTTCAAGAACATGGACAAATTTGGACGAACCAGTGAATATAAGTCAGTGTGATGAATGCTGTGAGGGGGCACTGTGGGAGGCTACCTAACCCAGCCTGTGGTCAGGGAAGGCTTCCTGGAGGAAGAAGAATCTGGACCCAGGTGGGAAGCCAGATGGGGAGAGGAGAGAGAATAGTGTGCCAGACCAAGGGAAGGGCGTGGGTAGACAGGTACTTTCACCCCAGGCAATGAAGCTGGGCCCTTTGCTCTACTCTGCCTCCCCCAGCCATGAGAGCTGGTTCCCCACAACTCCCTTCCCCCCATTGACACTGGATCCCTCAGATACCTGGATGCTTGAACACCTGCCATGAAGAGCAAAGACTGGGAGGCATGAGACACTGGCTCACTCAGGGAGCTGACCTAAGCTTAGTGTCGCTGAACTGTGGAGAGCAATGAGGCTGATCCTCAGAGCATCAGGTTCTTAGGTGGAGGTGAGCGAGGAGACACCTTAGGCTGCAGCAGAGAAAAGAGATCCTGCCAATCCACCTCCCCTTTCCTATTCCTGCCCTCCTGGCTAGACAGCAAACAGATCTGTGGGTGCCAGGTGGCTTTTTATTTTTTTGGCTAGTCAAGTAAAGCAGTGAGAATGAAGAAAGAACAAAGAAATCTGTAACTGGTTGTGATCAATTAATTGTAAACACCAGGTGGCTTTATTGGTAGCATTGCAGTCTGGGGGTGGAGTAGCTTTGCCCACACTCACCCTCTTGCTCACATTCACACTCACACACACCCCAGGCCCTGCCCTGGATGGTCAGGTCTGGTGCAGAGGAGCTGGAGGCCTGGTGCTTCCTTCTGGTCTTTGGTTCCCCCAGGTTAGGGAATAATTCACAATGCTTCACTCAGACTCCAGGCTCTCTCTGGTGCTGTCATGGCTTAACTGCTGCGGTGCTTCATCTAGAGGAGGAAGGAGAGGAAGGGTGAGGGGCTGGAATCTTAGGAGCTCAGAGGGAGAAGACAGGGCCAGGGAGGGCCAGGCTTGCCTTGGCTGAGGTCCTCTGCAGTCTCCGGATGATGCGTTCTACCCAGGGCTGGTCTAGGGGTGCACAGAGCTGGCGACCCCTCACTGTGGTGAACCTGGGGTGAGAGGTCAGAGAGAATGGAGCCCCAGCATCCAGCATGCCTGGGGACCATGTCTGGGAACCCATTTCAGGGATTTCCTTGAAGGGATTGGGTTTGGTATGGAGAAGGGGGATAAGAAGGTGGAAGTCTCAACAGGGGCTAAAAGGGGAGACAAGACTAGACACCCTCCTCACAACTCACACCACAGCGGGCACCCTGCAGCCATCCTTGATGAGAAGATAGCGGAAGTTCCTGATGATATACCCTGGGATGGGGTTCTGGGTCACAGACAGACAGCAGTCTTCAGCATCGTTGGTGCCACTCAGAGTTGGGGCTGGGATGGGGAAAGGTGACAGGACACAGGGACCCTGAGGGTGGTGTGGCCATGGCCTGAGCTCGGATTAAGGACACCTGTGTGTGCGTGTGTGTGTGTGCGCGGTGGAGGCTGGGGGAGGAGTTAGAACTGGTATTCAGCCAGTATGCGCCAATATGGCCCTACTCATTGCTAAATATATTGTTATACTTCCAAACTGTTCTGTAAATAACCATTGCCCTGAGCCCCACAAATGGCTTCCTGCTGCCCTGATCACCTCAACCTCTCTCCCCGGACAATCCAGCAAGTAAAGTGATGCAGATCACAGTGTGGGAGGGGTGTGGGGTGGGGTAGGCTGGTGTTAGGAGCCTTATTAATTGGTAAAATTTTTGAGTATCAGTCTTGCCTCAGTGTCTGCCATTCTCCCTACCTTAAGCAAATATATACTGTTCTCTCTTTCTGCCTGGGAAATGGAGGCAGCAGGAAATAGAGCTTGCAGAGACAGCCCAGCCACAGGCCCCAGGATGTGCCACGAGACCCACCCACATCGGGTTGGAATTCAGGGCACAGGGACACCCACACTTATAGGCACATACACACGGACCTGCCAGGCTCACCGAAACATGCCTGAACTCGCCATGTCCCTCATATCTAGTGCCAAGCAACCTGAGATCTAGAAATTACCCACTGCCAGCACCCCCCACTGCCCCCCACCCTGACTCTCCCTTCAGCCTTACCTGGGGAAGTCCAGAGAACCAGCAGGCTGAGGGTCAGTAGTAGTGCCATGGAGGGTGAACAGAGGCAGGCCAACAGCAAATTGTGAGCACCAGTGGTCTCCGGTGTGCAGGATCTGTGTGAGGCTGCAGGGCCACTGGGATGCAAGGGTGAAATGCAGGGTGTGAGTGATGTGACGCTGGGAATGTGAGCCCTGCAGCTGATTCTTATTTATGACCCTTTTTTCTGCCTGAAATTCCCCTTTCAGCCTGTGATTCCCCTGCTGTCCCCCTCTTTCTGGCAGAACCTCAGCCTGCCCCCCTCTTTTCCCTGCAGCTGCCCTTTCCCTGTGCTTTCCTTGGCTCATGCTCTGAGAACGTAGGTCTGCAGTCTGGTCCAGTAAAGAGGGCTGTGCACTGTTTCTCCAGAGAGAGGGACTGCCCTGTCATCCCATTGGTGGCATTTGCATCATCAACCATGGCACTGGGGTTCAGAAGTAATGGTCAAAAGTGGGGGCCACAGTGAGGAGCTGTGCTCCTTTCCTTAGGTTTGTCCCTTGTCCTCACTGGTGCTTCTTCCTTGGAAGATTGGTGGTGAAGAAGGGTACCTGCTGCCCTCAGGACAACCATGAGAACCTGAGGTGCCCTCTGATGTCATCACAGTCCCTGGTGCCCTCAGGACAACCATGAGAACCTGAGGTGCCCTCTGATGTCATCACAGTCCCTACCTGCCCACCATCTGGGGACCAGTCCTTCCCTTGGGGCAAGCAGAGATGAAAGGCCAGGTACCTTGGGAGGAGGGCCAGGACCCCTATCCCACCTCTTAGGCCTCTGGGGCTCATCAAGCCCTCCCCTTCCCCTATTTACCATTTTCCTAAGTCCAATACCTGGGCTATAAGAACAGCTGGAGGGAGTCTGGCCTGGAATAGCCCCCTTCATTTTCCCCATTTTTCTCAGTCCTGAGAACCAAGAGGGGATTTCTAAGGAGAGGGGCTGGCCAGCTCATATTCAGACAAATTTTAAAATTTCAAGGAATAGACCGATGGGGGAGGGGACAAGTGACTTCCCATCCTTATGAGAAAGATCAGAAGTGAAAGCCTCAAAAGAGAAACTAAATATGAAATGCCCATTCACCCATCATCACCCATGTCTTAGACCCTCTTTTGGATGTGGAGAGGGAGAGGGAACATTTCCTTCTTAAATTTCTGACTTGCTTCTTTGCATCCATTAATCATAGTAATAGTAATGGTGTTTCTGATTGTTTACTATGTGCTAGGCTCTATATCAAGGATTTTGCCACTATCACCTTGCTTAACTTTCCCAAAACAATACTATGGTGTAGTTTTTATTATTTTCGTGTTATTATTCTTGTTTTACTCATAAGGAACATGAGACTCAGAGCACAAGGCCACGTGGCAAGTAATACTGGAGCATGATTTGGACCCAGGTGTGCTAGGATTTGCGCTCTTTGCCTCCACCTCACACCATCTATCTGCCACTTGGTCATGGCACAGCATGTGTACTACACAGTGCAGAGGAGGGAGACTGCAGACAGAGCGCCTAGGTTGGGATTCAGATTCCACCACTTACTAGCTGTGTGACAAGGTGAAAATTCTCCAGTCTCTGTGTCTTAATGTCCTTATTTGTAAAACAGGAATGGTAGAAGATCTACTTCTTAGGATTAAATGAGGTACCCTTAGTAAGGCCCTTAGCTTAGAGGCTGAAACATAACAAGCTCTGACTGTTAGCCATTGTTCTTCTTTTTTTTTTTTTTTTTTTTTTGAGAAAGAGTCTTACTCTGTTGCCCAGGCTGGAGTGGAATGGTGTGATTTCTGCTCACTGCAATCTCTGTTTCCTGGCTCAAGCAATTCTCTTGCTTCAGCCTTCTGAATAGCTGGGATTACAGGCACCCACCACCACGCCCAGCTGACTTTTGTATTTTCAGTGGAGGTGGGGTTTCACCATGTTGTCTAGGTTGGTTTCGAACTCCTGACCTCAAATGATCCACTTCCCTCGGCCTCTCAAAGTGTTGGGATTGCAGGCATGAGCCACCATGCCTGGCCTTCTTTTATCCTTTTATTCAGGTATCTGCTCATTAATTCATCTATCCATCCCTCTTTCCATTGATATATCCATACTTCTGTCCATGGTGGTTTTGGTTATTCTGTTTGCTCCAACTCATCCATTCTCCACTCTACATGGCCCTGGAAGGCTAACCTCTGCAGATTGCATTACTCAGGGTCCTGCTTTCTGGCTTCTGTTTGGGGCTGGCCCGTGAGAGGCAGCAAGAAATCAGTGATGGAAGGAGAGAGGCTAGGGTATTAATTCCCAAAATCCTTCATCTTGCTGCAGTTCTGGCAGTGAATAATTTCTTCTGTGGCAATTGTTCTCAAAGAGTAGTCTTTGGGCAGCAGCAGCATCACTTGGGAGCTTGTTAGAAACACGAATTCTTAGATTTTACTTCCCATTTACTACATCTGAGACTCTGAGGATGGAGTCTAGCAAACTGCATTTTCACACATCCTCCAGGTGACTCTTGATATTTGCTAAAGTTTGAGGCTCACTGGTCTACAGATTGAGGTCCACTGGTCTACAGTGATCCTTTTGGGCTGCCTCCCTTCCACAGGTCTATCTCTATTCCTTTTTTGTAGTCTCACTGTATTGCCCAGGCTGTAGTGCAGTCGGCACAATCTCATCTCACTGCAGCCTCTGCCTCCCAGGTTCAAACAATTCTCCTGCCTCAGCCTCCCAAGTAGCTGGGATTATAAGTGCACACCACCATGCTCAGCTAATTTTTTTTTATCTTTAATAGAGATGAGGTTTCATCATGTTGGCCAGTCTGGTCTCAAATTCCTGACCTCAGGTGATGGCCCGCTTTGGCCTCCCAAAGTGCTGGGATGACAGGGTTTGGAAACACTGTTCCCTCCTCTCTCCCCTTCAAGACTTTGTATGGTAATGGTTTCTCACCATTGTTAGACCTCACCTGCCTATCATCCCACATTGGTTCCTTAAACCTGACCCAATCTCTTAAATTGACCCTTTATTAAAATCTTTCCAGTTAAATTTTCTTTTCTTTTTTTTTTTTTTTGAGATGGAGTTTCGCTCTTGTTACCCAGGCTGGAGTGCAATGGCGCGATCTTGGCTCACCGCAACCTCCACCTCCTGGGTTCAAGCAATTCTCCTGCCACAGCCTCCCTAGTAGCTGGGACTACAGGCATGCGCCACCATGCCCAGCTAATTTTTGTATTTTTAGTAGAGACGGGGTTTCACCACGTTGACCAGGATGGTCTCGATCTCTTGACCTCGTGATCCACCCGCCTCGGCCTCCCAAAGTGCTGGGATTACAGGCGTGAGCCACCGTGCCCGGCCTAAATTTTTTTTTTTTGAGAGGGATTTTCGCTCTTGTTGCCCAGGCTGGAGTGCAATGGTTCTATTGCGCCTCACTGCAACCTCTGCCTCCCAGATTCAAGCAATTCTCTTGCCTCAGCCTCCTGAGTAGCTGGGATTAAGGCATGCGCCACCATGCCCAGCTAATTTTGTATTTTTTTTTTTTTTTTTTTTAGTAGAGACAGAGTTTCTCCACGTTGGTCAGGTTGGTATTGAACTCCCGACCTCAGGTGATCCACCTGCTTTGGCCTCCCAAAGTGCAGGGATTATAGGGGTAAGCCACCACGCCCAGCCCCGGTTAAATTTTTTTTGAGTGTATGTGTCAGTGTAAAATATATATCTGGTCTTCATCCTCCTTTTCTGACATATAGCTCCTAAAATCCTTGGAATCTTCGGAGAGATGTATATTTTGTATGCTAATGAGATAACTGGTGGCTGGGAGCCCCAAGACAGCCTCTGGATGGGTGCTGGTCAGCAGAAAGAACCAGCCACATGCTTAGAGAGTTGGAACATGCAGTCCCACTACCCTCCACCGGAGAGAGGTTGAAGCTTGAGTTGATAAACCAATGGCTGATGATGTAATCAATCATACCTATGTACTGATGCTCCCAAAAGGACTAAGTTGAGGTGGGGGGCTTCTGGATAGCTGAGGACATGGAGATTCCTGGAGGAGGGTGCCCAGAGAGGGCATGGAAACTCCACACCTTTTTCCCCCATACCTTGTTCTGTGCATCCCTTTCACCTGAATGTTGATCTGTCCTTTGTAATATCCTTTATAATAAATGAGTAAGCATAAGTAAGTGTTTCCTTGACTTCTATGAGCTGCTCTAGCAAATTAATTGAACCCCAGGTGGCTTGTGGAAACCCCTGTTTATAGCTAGTCAGTCAGAAGCATGGGCCACAATCTGTGCTTGCAATTGGTATTTGAAGTAGGGGGCCAGTCTTGTGGAACTAAGCCCTCAACTTGTGGGATCCGATGCTACCTCTAGGTAAATGATCTCAGAATTGAATTGAATTAGAGGACACCCATCTGGTGTCCACTGGAAAACTGTCTGCCAGAGAATTTCTTGGTGGGGAGAAATCCCCACACACTTTTGGGTAACCAGAGGTCACAGAAGAACTGAGTGGTAAGTGGGAGTAGAGAGTAGGGAAACATGATTTTCCCTGTATCCTTGCAGTGTGCTGTTTCCTGCCAGGGTCCTCACCAATATAATCAGTAGTACCAGGAAACAGATTCCCAAAATGGGATTCTAGGGTTGGCTTGCCCTTGATGAGGGCATGGATGATCTCTGTGCTTGGGAAAAGAGGACACAAGTAATCTGGAGCACGTAGAAGCATCACAATCACTTAGACTATCACTTGTGAGGCACGGATGAAATACTGGAAGGCAAGACATTAGGAGATAAGGTACCTGGGACATTTAATTGCTATGGCCACAAATGGTGATTGCAAATGGTGATTACTGTATTATTACTATAGTACTATATTGAGGCCAGAACCTCACTGGCCATTTCTGATTGTGCTAGTAAAATTCCAATAAAAAAGCTAAGTTAGGCCGGGTGTGGTGGCTCATGCCTGTAACCCCAACATTTTGGGAGCCTGAGGCAGTCAGATCACTTGAGGTCAGGAGTTTGATACCAGCCTGACCAACATGTTGAAACCCTGTCTTTACTAAAAAATACAGGCATGCTGGTAGGCGCCTGTAATCCCAGCTACTCGGGAGGCTGAGGCAGGAGAATCACTTGAACCCAGGAGGCGGAGGTTGCGTGAGCAGACAGAGATCATGCCATTGCACTCCAGCCGGGATGACAGAGCAAGACTCCCTCTCAAAAAAAAAAGGTAAGGTTAGACTATAAACTTCTTTTTTTTTTTTAGAC